CCCCCCCCAGCCAGAGGCACAGACAGGACCCCGCAGAGCACCCCAGCCCAAGGCTTGGTAGCCACCATCGCCCCTCAAGGACATCTCCCATCCCACCTCAGGCACCCCAGAAAACATGGAAAGGGTGAGTTAAACAGCACAGCTTGTTCATGAAGGGATGCTGGGTCCCCTCCATTTCCCACCCAGGGCTGGAGCCCTGGTGTGTGCAAAGAGTTAAAGGGGGTACAGCCCCTCCCCAGCATCACAGGGGGGGTCAGGGGCCCCTCAGCACCCTCAGGGTTCCCCTGGGGCAGACAAGGCTCAGCCCCAGCTGAGGAAGAGCCCAGTACTTATGGGACAGCCAATTTCACCTGCCCTGGCAGGGGCACAACACGGAGGGGAAGGTGTTCAGGACGTGGTGGAGGAGAGCAGAGCAGGTGGGTGCTCCCCTGGGGAGCTCAGTGCATCACTTTAGTACCGTCACCCAAGACGCCGAGGGACATGGTGCTCACCGCTCTGGGCTGAAGGCTCTTGTCATCAGGTGTAGCTGGGAGAGGTGGCCTGATGGGAGGGGCTGCCCGTGAGGCCTCCTCCTCCTCTTCCCTCTCCCCAGGCAGGGTGCCCAGGGCTCTACAGCTGCTGGAGGAGAATGTCGATGGCCTCGGCCAGGTTGTTCACGTAGGCGTCGGGCTTCACGTGGGGGTGGTTTTCATCGCAAGGCCTGCGGAGGGGATGGGCACAGTTAGCAAGGACAGGCTCCCAACCAGGTCCCACATCCCCAGCCATCCTGCTGCTGCACACACAGCCAAGGTGGCCCCTGATGGAGCACTCCCGGATGAGCCTGGGTCTCACATTCTTCCCTTTTCTTTCTCTTGTTTCCCCTTTTCCCCCTCATCTCCCTGTCTCCCCCATACCCAGGTCTCTCCTGGGTCCTAGGGTAGGTTCCATCTCCTTGCACAACTGGGCTGGGCAAAAGTTTGCAAAGACACTCTACATCATTAACTAATTAATCCAAATTAATGCACTGCCTTTTACATGGCGCTTCTTCATTCAGGCAGTAGCAGTATCAGATGCAGTTGCTGGGAGGGCACTTCATGGGAAGCCCAGAGCCCTGTGAAACTCTGCAAATAATTATTATCCCCTGTTTTTTTCTTTAGAAGCAGGTAAAAAAGAGAAGAATCCACTTCTGACCTAGAGACACAGAAGGTCTGTACATAGCTTCAGTGAAGGGGAAGGCTCTGCCAGGGTTTAATTTGGCAGGATCACCACCTTTTTGCCAATCTAACAGTGGTGGTTTCAGACATGACCATGATTTAATTAAAGGTACTGGCCTAATGAGGCAGGGATGCATTACTTTTAGGGAGGGGGGTAAAATTTTTCCAAACTTTGTGGCCCTGTAGTGGCTTTTGGGCTGAGAAACCCAACAGCTGCTGCAGAGAAAACATATGTACTTTATATGCTGAATGGCCTTCCTTTGGGAAAGACATGGGAGCCCTAACATCCACCTCCCATCTCTTTCACTCCTTGCAAAGGACAAACCTTTATTTAGCTTGGGCCATTTTCTCAGCAGGGAAGATTCATTTCCCATCGGATGCATGGGAGGAAGAGAGACTATTATTATTATTTATGACGTGCAGAATTTGGTGAGCACTTGTCTGTACAAGCACCACATTATTTTTTCAGTTCCAGCACTATTCAGTTCCCCAGGGCTATTTCCTTTTTGGTCATTTTTCAGCTCTTTGTGCTCTCAGTGTACAAGCTCCTCACAAAGGCACGGCCTCTTTCAGGACCCCACACTGCTCCAGATTTTACTGCCTGCAAAGTTACACTATGCAACTAGGAAAAAGAAAAGACCCTGATATTCAGCTCTCCTTGTGTCACCTGCAAAGCCATGTCTAGCAGGGGGGTGATGGGTCTGTGCAATGGACTCTACCTTGGTGCTGGGTGTTACTAAAGTATCTTATTTAAAAGGCAGAAGGTTATTCCATGGGCCTTTCCTTGAGTATCCACGGTTTTTCTTGTTACAGGGTTAAGTTGCAATAAGAACAGTAATTATGATGGTTTTGGGGTTTTCCCCAACTGAAGAATAATTTAATTACTAAAGTAAGCTGTATTATACAATGGAGAAAAACCTTCAAATATAAAGTAAAAATCCAGTAGGTATCCATCCCTTGGCTGGTGATTACTGAGGATTCAACCAAGGGGCTTTTATGAATACAGAAACACCTTTTGGTGGCATGTGGTAAAACACTGATTTCTTGGCAATAATCTTTTATTTGAGTGGAGAACAAAGAAAGGTAATGGATGAAACTTCTTTCCATTTTACACCCTGAAAAATATTTCTTTCCTCGCTTATACATTAGGAGAAAAAATTAAGAACTGCTGGAAGTTAACACTTCCACAAGAAAATTTAAATTATCCCTCCCTTTTTAATCTATTAAAAGCATCTTGTAATTGATACCTGTGCTGACTATGCAGAACTCCAGCTGTAGCTCAGCTGCTAAATGCCAGTTGTCAAGGAAATACACTTGCTGTCTGCTGTGGAAGGGCTGGGTGTAGATACATGTGTGTATGTGTGTTCATACTGCAGTAAAACAAATCAGCTTCTCTGGGCAGCCTGGGCCAGGGTCTCACCACCCTCCATAGTGAAGAATTTCTTTACTAATATCTCATCTAAGTCTCTTTCAGTTTGAAACTGTCCCCCCTTCCCTCATCAAAAGTCCCTCCTCAGCTTTCCTGGAGCCCCTTCAGGCACTGGAAGGTGCTCTAAGGTCTCCCTGGAGCCTTCTCTTCTCCAGGCTGAACAGCCCCAACTCTCCCAACCTGTCTCTAGAGCAGAGCTGCTCCAGCCCTCTCTTCTGAAGGAGATGGGGTACAGCAGAG